CAATAACAACAAGTGGAGTTTCTGTGTAGCCCTGGCTGTCCTGGAACTCACTCTGTGAACCAGGCTGGCCTCAAACACAGATTCACCTGCCTCTGCCTCCTGGGTGCTGGAAATTCAAGACACGGGCTACCATGCCTGTTTTAGTTTCACTGATACACAGTGTCCTGTAGCTCAGGGTGGCCCTGAACTCCTCATCTTCATACCTACTTCTGCCTCCCAAGTGTTGGTATTGAATTGCTGTCATCTACAGATATTGTCTTAAGTTTTTTATTACATGTGTGTATGTGTGAGAGATGAACATTGTCAGAGGACAACTTTGGGAGTCATTTCTCTCCTTTCATTGTATGGATCCAGAGGATAGAACTCAGGTCATCAGGCTTGGTGGCAAAGGGACCGTTACCCACTGAACCATCTTGCTGACTCAGATGTGCCTTTTTAAAATACGTTATAAAGATAGAATATAGTATGTTATTGTCTCATGGAACTGACTTTAATTTAGCATGTTTTGAAGGTTCATCAATGTTTTAGTATTATCAGTACTAAGTTCTTTTAAAATTACTTTCAAATATATTTCCTTTATTTTTATATGTATGAGTGTTTGCTTGCATGTGTGTGTGCAGGTGGAGTTGGAAGAGGGCCTCAGATCCCCTGGAACTGAAATTAGAGATGGTTGTGAACCACCATGTGAGTGCTGGGACCCAAACCTGGATCCTCTCTGCAAGAGCAACTACTGCTTTTAACCACTGAGTCATTTCTCCAGTTCTCATTTTTCCTCCCTTGGGCACAGTATCTCACCATGTTGTGCTGGCTGTGTGTTGCTTAATGCTAGACCAAGTCATTCTGGAACTCCTGCCTCTGCTCTATAGCTGTTGGTGTTGTAGGCAGACTCTACCCATCTGATTGCCATTCTTTGTAATGCTCACAAACATTCCTTGGTTTACATAAAGTTGCTGTAAACATTTGTGTGTGTGTGTGTCTGTTTTCATTTGTCTTGGGTATGTATCTAAGAGTGAAATTGTCAGGGTCATATGGCAATTGCTTAACCTTTGAAGAGCTACCAAACTCGCCCAACACTGTTTTACATTGCTATTGCCAGTGAGTGAGGATTTCAGTTCTTCCACAGAAAACTTTTATAGAAATGGAATATTAGAGGACAGCAAGATTGCTGGGTGGGTAAGGATGCTTGTCACCAAGCCTGATTCCTTGCGTTTGATTCCTAGTGCTTTTGATTGATTGGGAGCAGAAGTAATCTAGGCAGAGATTGGAAGAAAGTGCCACACAGAGAGGAGTAAGTATATGTTCTAATGGAAGGAAAAAGATATGTAGAACACAAATGCCATAGGTGTTACCATTATTTGTTTTTTGGGGGGTGTTGTTTGTTGACTCTTGCTCTATTACCCGTGCAGTGAGAAACATTGAGTCTCCATATAGAAGAGCAGTTAAAACCAAAATAAGCGCTGACAATCTGTAAAAGTGCCATCCTGGGCACTTTTCAACAAGCACACGAGCGCTGACAACAACCCGTGCTTGCACAGGAGAATTCAAAAGTCTGATTTTGAGTTTGTACATGCTCCTCTACACAGTGTGTGGTAAAAACACTCTACCGTGCTGCTGAACATGTTATTAGTTACATTTGGGGTTGAGAGTTTTTATATCTGAAAGGAGATTTGTTTTTAATTTATTTAACTTTATTTTATACGCATTGGCCCTGAAAGGTGTCCAGTCCCCCTGAACTGGAGTTATAGACAGCTGTGAGCTGCCATGTGGATGCTGGGAATTGAACCCAGGTTCTCTGGAAGAGCAGCCAGTGCTCCTAACCCTTGAGCCATCTCTCCAGCCCACAGTAAAACCGCTGAGCTATCTCTCCAGCTCCCACCCTGAAAGTAGATTTTAAAAAAGTATAGTTTTAAGTATACAAATGGCATTTTCTAGAACTTTTTTTTTTGTTTTGTTTTTTTTTTTTGGCTATAATTTAAACCTAGAGGGCAAACAAGGTAGATAGACCAATGTAGCATGAGGGCTTGCTTGTTGGGGTTTCTGTCCTTCCCAGTTCCCGCAGCTGGTAAGCCCCAAAGAAAATCATACAGAAGTCTAATAAGTTATAAACTGGCCCATTAGCTCAGGCTTCTTATTAACTCTTGTAACTTATATTAACCCATTATTCTTATCTATGTTAGTCACATGGCTCGGTACCTTTTTCAGTGGGGCAGGTCACATCTTCCTTCTTCAGTGTCTGGACAGGACTGCAGAGTTTCCTTCTTCCCAGAATACTACTGTTTTCATTTCCCCGCCTCTACTTCCTATCTGGTTGTCCCACCTATACTTCCTGCCTGGCTACTGGCCAATCAGCATTTATTTAAAACATAATTGACAGAATACGGAATTGTCAGAACAAGAAATTAGAAGTCTTTTCTGTGTCCTAGGCAAAAAAATTTTAAAAAAAAGTTTTAAACATCGGTAGCAGTGGAATTGAAAAGGGTGGGGTATAATCAGCCAGTTATTGGTGAATTTTGGTGTTAGGTGGAAAGTTGGGGATAGCTAAAAAATTCAGGATGGTGGCCAGGTTTCTGACTTGAGCAGCTGGTGGTAATACAGTTACAGAGATTGAATACAGTTAAAGAGATTAGAGGAGGAATGGAATACTCAGAATTTAAAGTAGGAAAGGGCTCCAAGGGCCACCAATATTCAGAGAGCTGGTAGACCAAAGTCAAACCAGCAAGTGAGACTTAGAAATGACTAGTAGAGAGGTAAGAGGAAAGTTTAGCATCCTAGAAGTTTGTAGACGTTGGTAGCATGTCATTGTTTTCTTCCTCTCTGTCACATCATTCATTTTCTGTTGACATAATTGCATGTATTATAGACTGATTATTTCAGTATGTGCACATAACGTATAATGATGACAACGGTGTTGACTGTTATGTATTACTTGCCTTGTTTTGGGGGTGAATTTGGGTGAGCTAGTGAGATAGGCTTGGTGGTACATGCCTTTAATTCTGGCATCCTGGAGGCAGAGACAGAGGCAGGTGAATCTGTGAGTTCAAGGTCATCGTACATAGCAAGTTCCAGGGCAGCTAAGGATACACAGTGAGATTCTGTTTTTTGGTTTTTTTTTTTTTCAGTTTTGTTTCTTTTTATGTGGACTTGTGAGATGACTCAGCAAGTAAAGGTGCTTGCTGGTTATCTGAGTGTTCTGGGACCTACAGAACTAATTCCCTAAAGTTGTCTTCCACCCTACACAGACACACACAGACACAAACTCTCAAAGGAAGAAGGCAGAAAGAGAGGGAAAGAGGCAGATCCACACACCTTTGTGTATACATTGCACGTATACAAAAGGATAAATGAAATAAAAATTAAAACTTATTATTTTGTTGACTACCAGATAATACTGCAGTATGTATTTCAGGGAGTTTCAACGTTTTGGGGTTTGTTTGATAAAATTAATAAGCATAGTCATTGCCATTTGACAACAGATTTTATTTGTTTGTTTTTAATTTTTTTATTTTTGTGTGCATATTTGAGAGGCTGAGTGCAGTCATAACTCTCATGGGTTCCATGACTTTCTGTTCTTTCAGAGATCAAACTCTGGTCATCTGGCTTGAGTAGCAGCTGCCTTTTTTACATGCTGAGCCATCTTGATTGGCCCAAATTTGAATGTTCTGCAGTATATCAAATTATTAAAAACACTACTACTTTTGACAGAGCAAAGTAATTCTTATATAGTAGTTATTGAAGTAGTGAGAAATGACTGCATGTTTTGAGAATGAAACTGTCATTTGCTGATAGAATGCATATAGAACGAGATTGAGAGATAGAAGGGAGTCAGGAATGATCGCAGATTATTAGGCAAGTTGTTGTAAACGAAATGTTGTGTATGGTGGTGCACAGCTCTTAAACACTCTGGAAGGCAGGGGCAGTCAGTCTCTGGAGTTCAAGGCCAGTCTGGTTTACACAGTGAGTTCCAGGACAGCCGGGGCTAAACAAAGAATCTCTACCTCTAAATATCAGAGGTGTGCGGTGAGGGGAGCGGGAGAGAGAAAGGAAGAAAGAGGGAAAGTGTCTTCTCTTTGAGACTAAAGGGATGGAGGGATGGCACAGTGGTTGAGAGCACGGGCTGCTCACACTCAGTACCACATAAATGGCTCACACTGTAACTCCAGTTCCAGGGGCCCTTCTGGCCTCTCTGGGCACCAGGAATGCATGTGGTACACAGACATACATACTTATATAAAAGTTTTTTTTTTTTTTTTTAATCAGTGGTAGGGTGGGTTTTTGTTTGTTTGGGTTTGTTTTGGTTGAGGCAGGGTCCCTCTACATAGCCCTGGCTGTCCTGGAACTCATTATTTAGACCAGGTTGCTCTCAAACTTTACCTGCCTCTGTTTCTGAGTACTGGGATTAAAGGTGTGCACCACCACTGCCTAGCTAAATAATGGTGTTTTTTAAGGTACAGTTTTACACTGTAACTTTATTTAGTCTTGCCTTCAGCTCATTGTATAGTCCAGGCTGGACTCAAATTTACAACCTCTTTCTCTTTCCATCTCTTCTCATCTTTCCATCTTTCTTCAGACTCTGTTCAAGAAGTGGAAGGCAAAGTTTTCCTCTATGTTTCTCAAACGTAATCAAAATACTTCTTCCTCAGGAGTTTGACACTTAATGTTCTGCCTGACTTAAACCTGTCTCTCCTTCCTTAAGTACAGGACTATTCACCAAACTTTTTGTATCCTAGTAAATTGTATTGGCCATCTGTAAGAATTTGAAAGAGGAAGCTGGAGAGATGAATAAATGGTTAGAGCACTGCAGCTCTTGTGTAGGATCAGAGTTCAGTTCTCAGCACCCATATGAAAGTGGGTACAGCCACCATTAAGTCCAGTTCCAGTGGATCTCATGTTGTCTTCTAGCCTCTACAGGCATTCCCACACATGTGGGCGTGTACACATACATAGACCAATGGCGACACATAAATTTAAAGATCTGTGTAGGATTTTTTTAAGAAAATAAAACCTAGGGTGCTTTATATAAATCATGTACTATGTACATATTGAATTTTAAAGTTCATTTGTATCTGCTTTTTAATGTTGACAAAGGGAATAATTGCAATCACTAGTTTTGTTAAATGAAGTCTATAGAGCAAAACACAAATTTATCATAAACTGGGTGTGGTTTATACCTTTAATCTTGGCACTGGAGAGATGGAGGCATAAAGATGGCATTGAGTTTAAGGCTATCCTAGGCTTCAAGGTTTCTAAAAACAAAGTAAGTTCCTTAGTGAAAGTTACCTGTCAGTAATAGTAATATTGGAGAGGTAGAAGCAGGAAGATTGTTACAAATTGCAGGTCATCCAGAACTACATTGTGAGTAGAGAGACATTATTTCAAGAAATAAAGTCAAACTTCTCATAGAAATAAGATCATATTGTCTTAAGGGTAATATGGGTAATCATTGTTAATTCTACAATGTAGCAGCTTAAATATTTTTACTTGACAAACATATTTTTTGAGCACTGTATATTTTAAAATATGTACTAATGTAATTTTAAATTCGTTAATTGCCTTTATCAAATTCAAAAAAAGACTTCATTAAGTTTTCCATATGTGTTTGGTTAAAGTAATGTTCTGTGTGTACAGTGTATTTTATGCATGTATTTTTAGAAGTTTCCTTGATATACTTAAATGTTTCACAGGTACCTAAAGTTTAATACACTTATTAAACTTTCTTTCAAATACTTATTTATTTTATGTGTTATTGGTGTTTGCGTGCTTGCATGTTTGTGCACTAGGATTATCCAAATTCTTAAGAGCTAATTTGTAACGAGACAATTTGTAAGCAATTCCTATTGTCTTCCCAGTTTTATTTTGTGCTCCTGCGCCCTAAGTAATCATCATCATTTTAGGGAATTTTCACATACATATTATTTACTTTGGTAACATCTTTTTCCTGTTCCTTTACATAATATGCCATAATAACTATCACATTTTGATTACACTTTTACATTATAACTGTATTTATATGATAAGTTGTTTGCTTCCTTTCTAAGTTAAAGTTTGTGATAACAGTATTTGTTTGACTGGTAACTATATCTTACTGTGTCATACGGTTCTCAAGATGATTTTGAGGCCCTCAGAAAATATTTGCTAAATTACTAATGGGATATATTAAGAATAATGAATTGGGGCTGGGGAGATGGGTGGGTGTCTGGTGCACAAGCACCAGGACTTAAGGTCACATCCCTAGCACTGCAGAATCTGAGGTGTAAGGGGTGAGAGAGGGGCAGGGACGGGTGCATCTTTTCAGTTCATTGGCCTGTTAGCCTAGCTAGATTGGTGAGTTTGAGGTTCTTTGAGAAGCTCTAACTCAAAATAAGGGGAAGCAGTGAGGTAGCTCAGCAGATCAAGGCTCCTGCTGCTAAGTGTAACAACTTGAGTTTGATTCCTGGGACCTAAGGTGTTGAAAGGAAAGAACTGATCCTAAAAGTTGTCCTCTGACCTCAAAACTTGTACTGTAGAATGCACACACACGCATGCATGTACACACATGCACAGATTGAATAACTAAATAAATAAAGTTAGAGATAGTGAGGAAATTATCAAATGTTGACCTCAGGCCTCTACATGCGTACCTGTTCTTTCATACACTCATGTACAACACCCTAGTCTGCCTCTCTCCTCCCTTGATGCATACATTTAATGAATCTATGAAGGAAATGGTTGAATGGCTGGAGAAGTAGGAGGAAAGCCAATAGAATTCTGAATGTAGCAGAGGAATAAAAATCAAATCTGAAAATGATTTTTTTAGAGGCAGTATGACACACTTAAGAAAAAACCAGGCCAACCTGTTGAGCCTTTCTAGTAGGTTTGACTCTTTCTTTTATTGGCCATTAGCCTGTCTTTTCATCTATAAAAGGAATAGTAACTACCTCATGGTGTTGTGAGATTTAAGTTAGATATGTGAAGCGTTAGTGTAGAGCTTTGCATGTATTAAAACTCAGTAAGCATTAGGAATTTTAATTTTATGTTATATACGTTAAACTTACTGACAGAACTCATTTGTAGAACTTAGAAAGTTTACAATTAATTTTATATTCTTTTCCTAAATTGTGTTCTATCAAAATATGCTTATTTCTTTCCCATTCCTGATGCTGACAGGGCATCCACACAGTGCATAGTCTTCCACATAGAGTTAGTTACATTGTTGTGGTCATTATGTCAGGGACCAAAGCAGTGCTTGTTTGTTTTCTCTCACTCTCTCCTTCTCCAGCCTTGTTCTGGGCTTGAACCTGTGCGTGTTTAGGCAAGCACTGTACTAAGCAATACTCTTAGCCTCATAACACCGTGTTAATGTGTGTGTTCATGAGAATGTGTATTTTTTGAAGGCAATTAGACCTACTGAGCTAGGTCCTTGACTTTTTTATCTTATCAGATCTATTTTTGTTGCTTGTGTGTGAGACTATTGTGGCAGGTGGCAGTATACAGAGTATTCACTTGAGAGAAGAGATAGGATATAGATATGAAAAACACGTTTGAGTTTTTTCTGTTCACACACTTTACATATATGCGATGAAGGTTGTTTGTTTCTTTCTCTTTGACGTAACCCAGATTGGCCCTGAGTTTGTGATATATCCAAAGATGACCTTGAACTCCTGACTTTCTAGGTGCAGGAATTGGAGAAGTTTATCACCGTATCCAGTTTTTTTTAAAAAAATGTTTTTGGTGTTGGAAATTATGTCCAGATGTCCATTCATGATAAGGTAGATGCCTATTTAGAAATTGTAGATTTATTTTTCTTTCCTGGGTACTTAGTGGCAACATTGCCAAATAAATAGTAACATTTCTAAATTATTTTGGTGATTTATAAAGAATTCTTAAGTAATTCAACCATATTGTTAGATTATTATTACATTTTATAGTGATATAAATGTGTGTATCCTGCTAATGTAAATAATTTTCCAGTTTGGTCATACCAGTAATGATACATGTTAAAGGACTCTATTCTATGAAGCTATTGTTCACTTTCTCTCCTTTTTCTTTTTTCCTTTTTGAGGGGAGGGGTAGTCTTATTTGTTTTTTGTTTGTTTGTTTTTGTTTGTTTTCCAAGGCAGGGTTTCTCTGTAGCTTTCGAGCCTGTTCTGGCTAGCTCTTGTAGACCACTAGGTCTACCTGCCACACAAAGATCTGCCTGCCTCTACCTCCCAAGCACTGGAATTAAAAGCGGCTCCACCGCCCAGCTCAGAGGGGGTAGCTGGGCGGTCTTAAATATCCTAGGCTGGCCTTGAATTTGCTTGGGGGGGGGGGTTTGAACTTCTGATTGCCCTTTCTCTACCTTCCCAGCTCTGGGGATAGAAGCCAGGACTTGCTTTGTACTAGGCAAACACTGTATCACCCAACCTAATTCCCTTTAACTTTCTTTTCAGTTTCTTGAGTTTGTTTTTGATTGTTCAGCGACTTGAAAATATAAACTACAAAACTGTATTTAAGTTGAATGTTGAATTTGCTTCTTTGAGCAGAAAGATTCTTAATTCTGTATTTCTCCTCACAACTGCATTTTAAATTAAGTATACTGTAGAAGGAAGCAGGGTAAGTTATGCAGCAACCCAAACTGAAAGAGTACCATTCACAAACAACATTCATGACTGCTTAGAGCAGCACTCCTGTTCTCAGGAAGTCGAAGCAGAAGGATCACAAGTTCAAGGCCAGTAATTAGACTATCAAAGCAATAACAGCAGAAACTCTCAGTCTATAATCTAGAACTTTTTGGTTTTTAGAGGCAGGGTTCACTGCGTAGCCCTGGCTGTCCTGGGACTTGCTCTGTCGACCAGACTGGCTTTGAATTCACAGAGATCCACCACCTCTGCCTCCCTTGTAGTGAGATAAGGACTTGCACTACCACTGCCCAGCCACAGTTAGAAGTTTTGCTTGGGGGTTGTTGGTTTTGTACTACTATTTTTTTTTTTAACTTTTAGGTAATACAGTATTGATTGGGTAAACCGACACTGATGTGTTAAAGATTTGGGGAAGTGCTCTTTTATCTCTTTTATTGAGTATATCTCACAGAAATTCTGGGAATTAAAGCTAAATTCAGTTCAGGTTTTGTCCTGCTGAGTTGAGGGGGGAAAACCCGGTGTTCAGTTTTGGGGATTTCAGGATTCTGAATTTATTATGCAAACCAGCAGAACTTGGTGTTTTATGGGGAGAAAAACCATGTGACAAAACCACTTAAAGTATGAAAAATTTATTTTCTTTTTTCTGCTGAAGATTGGAGGCTTGGATATTTAATCAGGCGTGTGTTTGCTGTTCTCTTCCTCTTTTTGTGTTACTCTTGAGACAAAGCTTCACTAACTTTCCCCTCTGGCCATGAATTTGGAAGTTCTACACCAAACCGCAAGTTTTGGCATTCTATGCACACATCATTTCATTTGGCTATATTTTTTGTCTAAAAGTTATTATTTTTGCCATTACTGATGATTACACCCAGAATCTTCCACATGGTAGACTAATGCTGTACAGATAAGATGTAATCCCAGACACATCTGAGTCATCAGGAATATTGACTTATTAGCCGCTGGAGAGATAATTTAGAGGTTAAGAGCTTTGTGCTCTTACAGAGGACTCAAGTTAGATCCCCAGCACCCACATGCGGCTCACAACCATTAATAACCCCAGTTCCAGGGGATCTGATACTTTTTCTGCTTCTGTGGCTATCGGGCTCACACATGGTGCACAGGCGCACATACACAGACACTAGTAATAATAAAAATCTTAAATTTTTCTTTAAAAAATTTTCATGTGTATTTTTTGCCGGAATGTATGTAAAGTGCACCATGTGTCTGCCTGCTGATCCCCTGGAGCTAGAGATGTAAGAGCCAAACCCAGGACTTCTGCAAGAGCAGCAAGTGCTCTTTCAGCCTCATAAGAAATAATTTTTGAAGAGATTACTGAGTTACTTTGTTTTGCTTTTTGTTTATTTAGCAGTCTTCTGATTATATGATAACCTGGTTGATTTCCTGAGGACCTTTATGTAATAAAAATAAGGTTCCGGGGGCTGGAGATGGCTCAGAGGTTAAGAGCACTGAATGCCTTTCCAGAGGCCCTGAGTTCAATTTGCAGCACCCACATGGTGGCTCACAGCCTTCTGTAATGGAATCTGGTACCCTCTTCCCATCATGCAGGCACACATGCAAATAGGACAGGTATATGCATAAATAAATCTTTTTAAAAAAGAGCTTCCATATGCAGATTCTTAGATCTACTACTTACCATTTTTTCTGTATTGTTTGTTTGTGTATTTATTTATTTTGATTTTTTTGAGGCATGATTTCTCTGTGTAACAGCCCTTGCTGTCCTGGAACTAGCTCTTGTAGACCAGGCTGGCCTTGAACCATTTTTTTTTTTTTTAAGTTGGCATGTTGGTTTGAAAACACTTTATATATTTGGGAAATTGAAATGTATCAATTATTTACTAATATGAAAACAATGAAAATTTGTCAGTTGTTATCAATAATTTCTGTAATTATTTGTTTAATGTTCATATTTTCACTAGATTATAGGCCTCAAATTTAGGAAATGGGTTTGTTGAGTACATATTTTATTTTAAGGCACCTAGCATTTAGTAAATGCCCAGGAATGTTTTTCATTGGATTAGTGAATGACAGAGTTACTGTGTGGTTGTGACAGAGATTATTTCTGCCTGAGAGTTCTAACCCACAGCCACCATGTAGTGCTGGGAATTCAGCCTTAGTCCTCTTGCAGAAGCACAGTCAGTCCTGCCTACTCAGCTCCTGTCTCCCCAGCTCTAATCTTGACAGCTTTTTAAATGAACTGTTTGAAACTAGTAAAATAATTCTTTATTTTTTTTAATAAAAATGGATTTTGCTAAAAATGTAGAAAATATATTCCTTTAAAATTAAAGTTTTGTGCCAGGCATAATAGTGCTCATTTTTAATTCTAGCTTTCTGGAGACTGAGGAAGGAGGAATTTGAGGTTTACAGACAGATCCTGTCTTAGAAGGAGGTGAAGAAAGGAGAATCAGATTCAAAATACACAGTCATTTCTGTGTTGTATTTGTATTTGGACATCAGTTGCAGAAGCTTCTTAGCTTGTCTATAAAGTTTTTATGTTTTGTTTTGTCTTTTTCTAGACAAGGTTTCTCTGTATAGCCCTCCATCATGCTAGTCTTAAATTCAGAGATCTGCCTCTGAGTGCTGGAATTAAAGACTTGCATCACTTTAAGGGCTACAATCTCAAGACAGGGTTCATGTGTCATCTTTGCACTTGGAGACTAGGAGCCGCAGGGTCAGATTAAGATCCTCTTCATTACCAAGTACAAGGCCAGCCTGGACTGCATGAGATCCTTTGTCAAAAAGCAAGACACACACGTGCACACAGATACATACACACGCACGCAGACTCAGGAGAGAGATCTCCCTGTGACTGGCTTTATACTTGATATCCTCTTGTCTTGGCCCTTAAGTGCTGTGATCTAGGATTGTGCTTCCATGCTCTGCTGGAATGGTGATTCTTAAATTCTAATTTGTGCCACAGTATTATAGCTTGTTCACATCTACAGAACAAGAAAAAGAAATCCGAAATTTTTAACTGAATTCACAAGTACATAATGTGTATATATTCTAAACTACATTTTGATTTAACAGATTTTTTTGGTGCTCATCCTGCTGTCCTTATTGCTCCTTTCTTATATTAATTATTGTTTATTTTCTGATAAATTTTTGTTATGATCTATCCTGCAGGGAAAGAGATGCTGGTCGCAAGTTTTGGAAAACCGTATTTTTTTATGGAACAGTGTTCTGTAAAAGTTTTATAAGATTCCTTGGCAATAACACTTGTGATGGACTCTAGGAATACTGCTATGTTAGGATTGGGTTCTGATTCCGAAGGATTTTCAAGGAAGAGTCCTTCTACCATCAATACTGGCACTCTGGCCAGCAAGAGAGAAGTAGAAATAGAGAGTAACACGAAAGAAGAAGAGGATCCGCGCAAGCGGAATCGAGAAAGGAACAGTGAAGTAGGAAAAGATGGTGGTTTGACTGATGCACAGCAGCAGTTTTCAGTGAAAGAAACGAACTTCTCAGAGGGAAACTTAAAATTGAAAATTGGCCTTCAGGCTAAGAGAACTAAAAAGCCTCCAAAAAACTTGGAGAACTATGTGTGTCGACCTGCCATAAAAACAACCATCAAGCACTCAAGGAGAGCACTTAAAAGTGGGAAGATGACAGATGAGAAGAGTGACCACTGCCCTTCAAAGTGGGTGAGTGAGCTTTCCAACTGCGCATGGTCATTGTCGGCACTTGGGTTTCTCTATCAGTCTTTGTTTACACTACTCTTTAGTTATTTCTAAGTAGGCTATAAGGGATGGTAAAGTATAACAACATAATTGTGTCTATATTTAAATATTTTTGTGTGTGGATGTGACTAGTGAATGCCATTTCATGCATGTAGCGGTCAGAGGACAACTTTGGTTGTCCTTTCCACCTTCACATTGTTTCTGGGGTTTGAACTCAGGGCAGGCTTTCAAGACAAGTGTGCTGAGCAGCTGAGCCGTCTTACAGGTACCTATGTCTATCTGTCCCTGGATTTTTACTTGTAAAATTATGACATGATAAATGGAGCTAATTTGTGCTCCCAGTGTAAGAATGGGGGAAAAATTGGCGATTATATTTAAGACATATAGATTTGAATCTTGTCTTTCTATTTCCAATAATGAAGGAATAAACATATTAATAACAAATAAATTGAGGCTCAGATAAAACAAATTATCATAGCACCTCTCTTTAACATGACTGAAAGGATGTGATTTACCTCCAGCATGAGAGCGTTTGTGAAGTGACAGTTGTTCTGTAGGATGTTCATGTTGCTGTGTCTCCTAAGATCCACTGCAGATGAGCAGTCCTGCTTCTGTGGGAACCTGTGCAGAGCCTGATTCACAGCAACAAACAAAACCAAGTTGCTTTCTCGTCACTACCCAAACATAATGATTAATTATTCTTCTTTAAAAAACATTGATTTAACATGAGCTTGGTAGTGCATGCCTTGAATTCAAGTATTTGAGGCAGCAGCAGGTGAATCTCTCAGTTTGAGGCCAGCTTGATCTACATGGAAGTTCCAGACCAGTCAGCTACATAGTGAGACATTGTCTCAAAATAAATAATTTGAGGTACATGGGTGTTTTGCTTGCATGTTTCTTTTCAATATACTCATACCTAGTTTCATAAAGGTCAGAATAAGGTGAGGAATTGCCTAGAATTGAACTTAACAGACAGTTGTGAGCCTCCATGTGAATACTAGGAACTGAACTCTGGTCCAATGGAAGAACAGCTGCGCTCTTAACCACTAAGCCATCTGTCCAGGCCCATGACTAGTTTTTCTTAACTTTGTCTAATAACAGTAGCAATTTGTGTGACAGTCTTTTGACCAGAAGTTTTAGTTATATTATTTAGTATCGGTATATACTCTCTCTCACACACACAATGTGTGTCCTCTACAGGATCAAGAGTATACATTAGCATTTAGGGTGGAGCTAGACAGAATTGGCCTACCACTTTATCTGAAATTTAATAGTAATCTTCATTGTATTAAATGATTTGACTTTTATTCTTTATTTCTCTGTGATCCGTGCTATTTTATGTCTGTGATGTTTTACCTGCATATGTGTCTGCGCACCCTGTATGTAGTGCTCACAGAAGCCAGAAGAGGCCATCAGAAACCCCTTGGACATACTGTAACCCCATGTGGGTTCTAAGAATCCAACCTGGGTCTTTTGGTCTGGCAGCTGAGCCATCTCTCTAGCACACCCACACATCCCCCTTTTTTCTTTTTTGTTTGTTTGTTTTTGTTTTTGTTAAAGAGAGTCTTTGCTGTATAGCTCAGGCTGTCCTGAAACATGCTCTTCCTAGCTTAGATAACTGGGTACTGGGAGTGCAAACGTGCCTCTATCCCTAACTTGTCATTAATTCTTTATTATTTTGAAAAATTATCTAAAAGTCTATGTGTGTATGTGGTGTATGTACATGCATGTGTACAGGTAGATTGGTGTGCAGAGACCAAAGTTAGGCATCAAATGTTCTATTACTTTTTATGTCATTCCTTGGAAACTGGGTTGTTGACTGACTCTGGAGCTAAGCTGGCATCTAACAAACCCCTGCAATCTTCCTGTCTCCACCCATGACAGTGCTAGTTTTAGATGTTCATGACCATGCCCAGCTGTGTGTGTATTTGCTGGGAATTAGAACTCAAATCTTCATGTTTGCAAACAAAGCACTCTTAGCCTCTGAGCCATCTCCCCAGTGCCTAATTCTCTTTTTTTGTGTGATAGAGTCCTATATGTCTCAGGCTGACCTAGAATTTATTTTTCTCCTCTGCAAGCCTCACAGGTGCTAAGATGATGGGGATGTGCAGTACCACACCTATCTTATTACCATTAATTTTTTTATTATTATTTTGATTAGGAGAGGGGTTGTATCCTGCAGTAAGTATACAGATTCAAGAACAACTTTGTGAGTTGGTTCTCTCAGTCCACTCTGGGTCCTGGAACTCAAACTCAGCTCATCAGGCTTGCTTGGCAAGACACCTTTTCATTTAGCCATCTTGTTAGTCCTTATTACCCATAAGTCTTTACTCCGAAGTTTGTGCTTTTCCATGTTTTCAGAATCTTTGCTGCAGGTTCTTTGTTTGCAGGATTGCTATGGCATCCAAAAGTGTGAGTGTGTTAAGACAGGGTCTCTTGTAGTTGGTCTAGCAATTTTGCTATATAGCCAAGTTTTATCTTGAACTCTTGACCCTGCACCTTGGGTTATGTTTACTTGAGTAGGCTACCTGGTTTAATCAGAATTTTTTTGGTTCTTGTTTGAGTTGTTTCCAGCTGAAAGTTTCACTGTGTCACTCTGGCTGACGGGGAACTTACTGTATAGACCCTCCTGACCTGTCTGCCTCTGCCTCCAGAGTGCTGGGATTAAAAGCATGGCCTTTAATTTATTAGTATTGGGTTTTGAACCCAGAGATTCGCCTCCCCTTTACCACTAAGTTGAGCTCTCCAGACTTCTATTCCCAGCTGGGCATGTGAACTGTTGACCTTCCAGAGGGGAGTTGGGGTTGTAAGCAATTCTGCCTTGCTTGCACATGGTCCTAGGATCAGGGGAGATTAGAGTATGTAGGCTGAAGAAGACTAGAAGAGTGCTCCATCTGTGTATCGTCCATGCTAGGTACAGACTTCCCAGTGCTGTTGCTTTGGAGTCACCATCCCCTGTGAGTAAGCTAAGCTAATGCCTTTCCCAAGGGGAATCTTTGGTTTGCATTGAGACCTTAGCAGGAGGAGTAGACGTTCTTGCAACAAATGCTAGTCCCTCATTGTTCCTGAATATACTCTCACCATTTACACTTATCTATTTCTGAATCCCCATTTAGGAAGTTGGCTTGATAATACCATGATAATATAATACCGTGAGTAGAAAAGTAATTCCTGAAGCAAAGTGAAGAAATTTTTGTATTTAATATATTTTTAGGGTTACATTTGCTAGAATAGTTGTATTGCATTAAGATCATGCAGTGTTTAGGGATGGGGAGATGGCTTAGCCCTTCTAAAGGACCTGTGCTCCATTCCCAACACCTACATGGCAACTCAAAGCCATCTGCAACTCTGCTTCCAGAATGGTATACAGACGCGCACACACACACACACACACACACACACACACACACGTGCCCATACACATAAAACAAAAATGTAATAATAAAAAAAGTTGTTGTTTAGAACCAAATTGATGAAAGGAATCTTCCAGGAAAGTAAGTGATGCATCATTTTTATATCTTCTAGAAATTTGTATATAAAAGCACATACATGTCTCCTACATACATAATCTTCTCCATTTACAAAATGTAAATGCCATATTGATAATATTGTTTTATATACTGTTTTTCTTTATGTAGTCCTGGCTGGCCTGGAGCTTACTAGGTAGCCCAGCATGCCTCTGCTTACCTAGTGCTTTTTTAACTTAGCTAATTCTGAAGATTTTTCCTAAATAGCAGGAGTGACATAACTTCTTGAAGTGTGGGTTTAAATTTCTTTCAGTTTGTCTTTTTTAATTTATATTTATTGTGTGTGTGCATGATTTCACAGTTTAGTGGAATATGTTTTTAAGGTAAGACTTAATGATATTCTGAATTTTATTAGTATACATTGTAATGATTCTCTTTTCAGGTCTGATTTTATTTTGGCCTTCAATCTTTTCATTATTTTAGTTAAGAGTTTTTCTATCTTGTTAAGTAACCAATTTTTCAGTCTTAAAGCTAATTTTTGTTTCTGTCTTTTTAAGACCAGTTTTATTTTGTTTTTTGGCTGTATATATTGCCTTTGTTTATTTCCATTTCATTAATTTCTTCCCTAATCTTAATGATCTGCTGTTTTTGGGTTCCACCCTAAGGTATATCATTAAGTTGTTTCAGATTTCTATGTGGTGTTTGTTTTTTAATGTGAGTATTTAAAATTATAAACTTTTCCTTTAGCACTGTTCTCATTTTATTCTATGGAGTTGGTGTATTGTGTTTTTGTTTGACTCTAGAAATTTTTAATAAAATTTTTGTTTTGGTTTCTCTGAGGACCTCATCATTATTCAGTAGTGTGTTGTTTAATCTCCATGAGCTTGTGTCTGCTCTGGGTTTCTCTTAACAGAAACCCTATTTCTATTGCATTTTGTGTCCTAGTATCTAATGTGTTTTAGATAAAGTCTCATGGGCTTCTGAGAAGAATGTGTGTTCTGCAGTGCTGGAGTGGATGAGTGCTCCATAGCTAGGTGTCTGTTGGGGTGTCACTTAATTCACATATCACTCTGCTTATTTTTTGTTGGAAACACCTGTCAGTTGGTGAGAGTAGGGTATTAAAGTTACTCTCTGCCATTGTGCTAGATGAATCTGTGACTTTACATCAGTATAATTTCTTTTATGAAATTGGATGCACCTGTGTTTGAGGGACATGTGTTTAGAATCTTATAGAATCTTAATGTCCTTTTTAATGGAATGTTCTCTTAATCGGTATAAGATTTTTTTCTTGCTAGTTTTTGTTTGAAGTCTATTTCTTCAGGAGATCACTGACACCTGCTTCATTTCCAGATCTCCTTGCTTGAATACCTTTTTCTTTCCTTTGAGACAAGATAGTATCTGTCTTTTGTGCTAATATGCATTTCTTAGAGGTAGTTGACAGATGGTTTCTGTTTTGGGGTCCAATCTACTTAGACTGTGTCTTCTGATTGGGGGTTA